AAGTGCCCAGTCGGTTGACTAATCTGTCTCAAAATCGCTAAGCACTTAAAAAGTGCTACCCATTTTTGCGACTAACCCTGTACATCGTTCAACGCGTAATGAATGAACCGCTTTCAGAAACAGGTTCGGTACCTACAAGAGAATGCAGGTGGATTTTAGGCCTAATCAAGCGGGCTTCCATAAATGGGCAACTATTTCATTTTTCATATGTAATGTCTTTTATTTAGATTAATTGACATCTTTCTAAGTGACACAGTTAGATATTGCGTAGGTACTTTCAGTATAACCAGTTTTAAAAGCAAAACTGTGATAAAAATTATTTTACAATCAAATATTTTTTCTTTTACACATATTTAATTATTTATTAAAGGCAAACTTTTTTCTGTACCAGATTATAACTAAAAATTAACTAGGCCTCTAACATTAAAGGAAATGCTTATCATGTCACAGGAATATCTCACATACCGCCTACGACTGCTTACTGTAAAGCTGCTAAAATGTAAAAACGTTTTTCGTTCACTTACTACAGTGCTATTATTAATATTTTTTACGTGGAAAAGCAAACTTTTGAATCACAATAAATTAAAAACGATATAAATATCAATAAAATAAATAAACTGCAACTTATCAACTAACAATCATATTTCTATATTTTTAAAAGTTAAAAATATATATTTTTTAATTATATTATTAGTGGCAACATTTGTTTGATAACTAATAAATATTTGTAACATTCGTATAAGATTTATCCAAGTAGTATTTTAATTGTTTTAATCTTTAGTATACTTATTACCCGCATTTAATTTTGAATTTCTGCGGGAAATTCTTAGCTGTTTTGTATAGACTAGACACAACGAACTTGGCTCTATAGCCACTTCTAAAAATGTCATTAGAAAACAATTTAACCTAAAATTATTAACTGTCAAAAGCTCGCTAATAGTGAGATATTATCTGAAAATAAAAACGTATCGTGAGTGGTCGAGTGTTATTTAGTTTATTGTGAAGTTTTAGTGCTACAGATCCCCATTTACATTAATTTTTTGTTAATTGTCCTAATTGGCAAAACTAAATATTGTGTATTCCTTTAGAGGAGTTCAATAATCAAAATTGAGTAAAACAGGGAGGAAAATCGAAACAGATGGATTCCTTGATAACAGAAATATTAAATCCAATTATAGGGGAAGATATTGACGAAGAAATGCTGGAGTAAGTTTAATTGATAATTCCACTTTAAACTGCAATACTTAGGTAGTATTATTATTGTGTCCAGATACATGATGAAAATAAGGCATGAAGAAGATCTGGAAGAGTTTTTAAGTAATGTAATTGATATTGATAACCCTGAGCATAAGAATGCAATAGAAGAAATTAAGAGAATAATAATTGGTAATTTAAAAATTACCTCTTTTTTAAATTATTAAAAATTTTGCTTGTAAATACTTAGGGACTGATCCTAGATACAGAAAAAACTGGCAGCCACCCAAGGATGCTCAAAAATTTGAGGCCATAAAGTGTAGGGGTTTTAATTCACAAAAGTCGTTCTACTTATATAACCATTTATATATTGAATTGTAGATGATAACAATTATTATACAAGTCCCCCACAAGGAAACAAAAATAAGAAAGTAAATTATGTCGCTTTGGACACCTACAATAATACACCAGCAATAAAAAAGGGTAAACTCTTGTGAATTACATAATTTAGTACCTATTAATCGTTTTTGCGATAAACTGTGCAGCTGATTTGCTTACGACATTTAATATGTTTTGCAATTATTAAGGTCGACATCCATGTGATTGCGAAGCTCGTGCTCATGCATTAGTAAATAACTGCTTAAACTGTGGAAGAATTGTTTGTGAACAGGAAGGTTCTGGCCCCTGCTTTTTTTGTGACAATATGGTGTGTACCAAAATTGTTCTAATTTCTGTTTTCATGAATATTAAAACACATCTTCTTTAAATTTGCAAAATCTATATGTAGGTGGTTACTAAGGAGGAACAGGAAATCTTAAACTCTAATACAAAGGAATCAGATAAATTATACAACAGACTTGTTGATCAAAAGAAATCGAAAGAATGGAAGAAAGCCATTGAAACAAGAAACAAATTGTTGAAAGCTGATAGAATGGGGTATGTTAAAAGAAAAGGAAGCTTTTTCTATGTAAGCGTTAATGACCACAAAAATTGACAGGGAAATAAAGAATACTATTTACGACGATCAAGCTGATTATTTTGCTGCCAACTCAACAAAGAATAGAAATAATAGAACACCTAGATCAACAGCTCAGATGAAATTAGCGTTAGATTTGGCAACGAAAAAGCTATCTTATGAGCCGGACGAGGACGATTTCGAACTGCATAAAGGGAGGTTATTGCTCAGTTTAAATAAACATTTAGATTTTAAAGTCGACAAATTGCCAAAAAAATTATTCGATGAAAATGTGGATATGCGAAAGAGACTGATAGAATATGTAAATATTAATATAATTTGTTAATTCCGATATTAAAAATATTAAAATGATTTTTTATTTTTGAAGTATGGAGAAGTAAAGGATACTGAAGAACTGATAGACAAAATTGAACAGTGTAATAGAGAACCACCTCCTTCTGTTGCCGTTGAATTGCCCAGGCGGGTTGTAAACCATGAAATCACAACTATTGTGGATAAGGGGAAGTGTCTAAGCATGCACCAACCCTGGGCCTCTCTACTTGTTTCAGGGATTCAAAAGTAAGAAGTAATAAAGTAATTGTTAAAACGATGTAAATTCTGAATGGTTGCATTTATATTATTTCAATAGTTTAAAAATTAAAAATGTAATTGCTTCCTCTATGGCTTTTGTTCGAACAATATATGTGGTTTTTTAATCTTTATTTATTAAAAGACATGAAGGTAGATCATGGAAGACCGATCACAGGGGTCGCCTATGGATACATGCAGCTTCTAAGGAGCCAACCGAGGCTGAAATTGCGACTTGTGAGGAATTCTTTAGGAAGCATTATAACGGTGTTCATCTTCTAGTAGATACATAATAGTTAGTAACTGATACAGTTTTATTTTTAGACCCAAATTTGACTTTCCCGAAAAAGTATCCTGTCAGTTGTTTATTAGGATGTGTTTATGTGGATAATTGTTTGCCCCAGAAAGAGTACCGGGAACGATATCCGAATGGAGAGTGTGATAGTCCTTATGTGCTAATATGCTCAAATCCTATCGTGCTACGCGTATTTCTACCTATGACCGGGCAACACAAAATATGTAGGAAGTCTGAAAATTAACTTTTGTATTTTTAATGATTTACTTTCAATTTCAGTTTCTATGAGCCCAGAAATGCATTATCATGCAAAGCAGGCTATTCTGGCCGCATCTTGGGTTTAATTCATAATCTTTATGTATGTACCTAAGTATGAAATTTTGTTTTTTAAAATAAATTGTTTTCAAATTTTAGCTGTTTATTTTATAGCTATGCAAGAACTTGTCGTTTTTCCACTACTTTATATTCATTGAGTTCATTTGTGATACTATTATGTGTCAATATCTGTTTAAATCTCCTTTTTAGTTTTGCAAACTTAGGTAAATGTATAAGTAAATGATACAGCACCACGCATTCCTCATATATGTATATTATGTGTTAATACATATATATGTATAACTGTGACTTACTAAACCTGTTCAATGAAGTCGAGAAATGTAATATTTAAGTTATTGGTGTTAAATGTTATTTCATGTTATTTCAAATAAACCAAAATACAATATACAAAATTTTATTTTACATTAACTTCGTGTTAAATGTACAACATCCAAACGTACATATAAATACTAGACACAACGAACTTGGCTCTATAGCCACTTCTAAAAATGTCATTAGAAAACAATTTAACCTAAAATTATTAACTGTCAAAAGCTCGCTAATAGTGAGATATTATCTGAAAATAANGTACATATAAATTTAAATAAATAAATTAAATCTATATTATATTACATTAATTATTAAGTAGGTCCTAATTCACACATCATCCAGCAATCATTCACTAATACCATTTATATCTGTATTTCTTCCATAGGTACATATTTTATTGGTGTTTTACGAAAATCAAATTTTGAAAAATGTTATTTCTATGAGTCGTTCTGTTTTTAAAAACTACAATTTGTAAGTGTTACTTTGTTCATTGACAAATTATACTTTGATATGTTTTCAGTTATTCGAATATGTAATTGTTATTTACAAAATTAATTTTTTTTAACTAATCCTAAATTCATTTTGGTGCTTCCTTGAAATTCGAAAAGAACGTTTCAATTGGTAAAACGGGATCTTCTGTCGAAATGGTAAAGTGACTTGGAATTATCCTACTTGTAGCTGACACTGATTTAAACATACCAGGGGTATTATATTTATTATCGGATGACGATGTTAGATCTGAAATTCTTTGTTGAATCGTAGATTCGTCTTGTTCAGCATCTGAATCATAGTATTCACTATCAGAAGCTGATTGCGGTGTAGTCGAATCTTCACCACCATCATCACCTTTAAAGTCGAGCTTGTTTGCCTTTTTGACTTCTTCAGATGCTTCGTAAGTGTCCATTTTTGCCGTTATCATTCCTGGAGCTTGCACTTCGTCACTGACATCTTCTTCTTCCATTTCTCCACTGTCATATTCCGAAGGTTTCTCGGAGGTGGTGCTCTGTGTGCGATTGTATTTACCCATTATCCTCGTTTTTAAACTGGGGTAAACGGGTCTACGGCCGCTAGCAAAAATGCTAGGTTTAACTGATCCTTTTTGGGTGTGTTGTGTTGTGCTAGGTTCGGTTGTTGTGCTTGTGGAGCGGTACCTTCCGAAAGGACGTAATCTTGTATTTACAGCTTTTACCGGTTTCTCCGTTGCAATTGTATAAGAATCAATTTCAGTGGTCGTAAAGCGCGGTTCTTTGGGTGTAAATCTGCTTGGTTCTGACGTGGTACTTTCATCTTTATTGTTTGAAGCTACAGGCTTTCGTACCCGATGAGGAAATCTTAATCTGTTTGACGAATCTCTAATTCGCGATGCTTCTGTTGTGGAAGAAGTTGTGGACGATGAAGAAGTTGAGTATTGGTTTAGTCTTTGCCGGTAATCCTTAACACTAAATCTTGGCCTTGTCTTGTTTTTTAATGGCCTGGCTTTGACTCTGCTCGTTTTGAGTGTAGTACTTTCGGTAGTGGTTGATGTTGTGGCGAGAGTGGTAGAAAGTTCGTCTTCTGTTTGCTGCGTTTCTTCGGCTGTGGTTTCATAACTGTAGGAGTGCTCCGTTTCAACTATTGGTGCTTCTGTCGTTTCTAATTCTTTAGGTAGAGAAGTTGTTGGGTGAATTCTTTTTCGTTTCTTGAGTTTTGGCTGTTGAACTTTTTCTTTTGAGATATCGTATACATCGGTATAAGTTTCTGGATTGGTATTGGCGTAATCGTCGCTACTATAATTACCTAAAGGACTTGTCGATGACGTGACCTCAGATGAGTGTTGGGTTTCTTCTTTTTCAAATTCTGGTTTCTTTTGGTTATTTTCGCTATTGATAAATGAGTTCTCTTTTTGCTCGGAACTTTCGGCAAAATTATTATTGGAAGGATTTGCAGCAGGTAATTCTGTTGTTGTAGTTAATCGATGTTTAATAACACGTCTCCTTTTATGGGTACTTGTTTCATGGTATGTTTCAGTAATCCCTTCTGGGGTGGTGGAGAAAGTGGACGGAGAAGTAGAAATTTTCGGACGGGTTGGCCTGCGTCTCCGGTGTGGTCTTGAAGCCTGAGGTTCTTGTCCTGAATTTTGCCAGTCGGCATAAGCTGTTTTAGTAGGTGTCAAAACTGTTTTCTCCGGAAGTTCTTCCTTGGTGGTTATCTCGTTTGTCAGATCGGAATTTTCAGGTTCGTTTGGAGCAACAGGATTTCCTAAAATTGGATAGTGTGTTGATACTTCCTTAATATTAAAGAACGAGCCGTTCGGTCTTTCTTTTTGTCTGTTTTTCAAATTTAATTCTGTATACACGGCTGAAACGTCACTTTGAGACGCGACGGTAGGCAAGGGATCTGATTTTAATGGAGTTGGAAGAAATGTTTTTATTGTTGGATCTTCCGCTGGTAATAATGGCCTTCTAAAGTGATTGAATGTCAAGGCAGGATCCTTATGAGGATTTCTTGCTGTCGAAAGATGACTTTCCCAATACGTTCCTTCTGTTACTTCGTAGGTATGCGGATTGGCGAAATGGTCTTTAGTTTTCTGATTGTATTTTTGGTACTGGTCTGGAATAACCTGTTGTTGGTACTGATTGACGTTTGTTTCGTGATAATTATGGGGCACGTTATTTCTAAAAACGTTAAAGTTTTCTTTAGTTACTTCTACACCTTGCTGTCCAGGAATGTTATGCACATAGGAATTTTGGATATTGAAAGGAGGTGGGACTTGGACCACCAAGTTTTCGGGTAGATGAATTGGAGACTGGTGACCGATCAGCTTTTGTTCTTTAACGTCAACTTGCGTTTCTGGAGGAGGAGGAACCAAATTTTTCGAGTACTCGTCATTCTGTTGATGATTGGCGTAATAATTGACATCGTTTTGAACGTGTTGCTTGTTCGGGAATATGAAGTTTTGGGCAGGGGTTGGTCGTGGCGAAGGTAGCCCGGGTAAAGTGAAGAAACTCGTGTACTGGTGTGGATTATTTACTCCTTGATTGTGTACATGCTTTACAGGAATGTCGCGGACTTTTTGATTGTTGCGTCCTGAATTGAAATACACATAAGATCCTAAAATTGAAGAAATTTATTAAATACCTAAACTTAAAACAATTAACATTAATTAATCCAAGTACGGAATTATTCAAGAGTGCTAACCTAAAGCTGAGGGTGGGGCCGGTAAATAAACTTCGTTTTTAATACTGTAAGCTCCTACAGGCGACCTTGCGGGCTTGGACAGCTTCTTCTGCCCGCCAGTAGAATGCTTGTTGGATGAAGGAGGTCTGTGAGAGCTGCTGGGATGACCAGGGCTGATACGTAATTTAATGGTGTTTTTGCCCAGTGCGTGAATATTATTTGCAGCTAGAAATCACGAACGGAATGAATTTGGATACGTATTTACACAACTTGGCAATTTAATGTAATCGGTACGAATGTATAGGTACGTCCAGCAAACTAAAGAAATTAACCGATTAATTCTAATTTCTGTTCAGTTATGAATCGAGTATTGTCATTTTTAATCGATTAATCGCAAACAATTTATTTAGATTAATCCAAAAAGTCAGTAATCGATCCTTAGTTTAATAAAATTACAGTGACGCTGATCCGATTGATCGAAATAATCGATTACTTTTTTGCAATCGATAATTGACTCTTACATTTAATAATCGCCCAGTAGTATAGGTAAATTAGTCTAAATAATTTGTTTATCGTTACCTCCGGCTCCATGAATATGTATGTGGCTGACTGAATTTTTGCTTTTTTTCCCAAAATTTTGGTCGGGTTTTGGTGAAACTTTAGAGGAGTGAGTTTGAGGCTGTATTTTCGGTTGTGCTTTGTACACATGCTGTTTATTACCTAGTTCACTAGGATTACGATATTGTGTAATTTCATCTTGAACTATTGCATGACGTGGTCCACCTTTTCCCACAATTGGTTTCCAGCCATCCGCAGTCATTGAGATAAACTCCTAAATTTACATAAAGCGTTTTTTAAAATCATATTATGTGCGAATTTATGTTAAATAACAAACATACCTGCGATTTGGTGGTTTCCAAATAAGTCAACATAGAAACTGAAATAAAAAAGTTATAATCAGTTTCCATTATTAAGGAAGGTTCAGTTAGTTTTTTGTAAATTGACTTACAACCAAAAGAAAATTACAGAAAAGTTTGAAGTACAAAGTTTAATGCTATAGATTAATTAAGCAATTTTGTTTTCAAAAACGAAAAATGTATATGTAGGTACGTAGTAGTGTTATGAACGAACAAGTTTCGCAAAACAAAAAAGAATTTAGGGGAAGTTTCCGGAACTTTTCAGAAACTTTCCTCAACAGTATAAATAAGTTGATATAAAACAGCTGATATAAATAGCACGCCAATGAAAGAGTAAACAATAATATACATTTACAATGGTATAATAATGGATTGTTAAATAATGTCGTGTATATAGTAGCAGTGTAGTAGTTTAAACGCATATACATAATACTAAAATGTTCGAGCATGAATGAAATTTTTGAATAACTTTTTTACAACCTTCTAATTATTTATTTATTGGTACTACAGCCCATTGGTTTCTATTGAAAACTTTCCCTTAATACCTTCTATTAGACGTTATTGATTGCTGCAACATGTAATGCTTTTTAATTTATTAATGCTCTCCAATATTTCCTGTTTTGGTGAAATGTCACCTTGATAGTTGAACTTAAATTAATTGATGTCTTTTTTTTGCAATACCATTTTCAATTGAAATTAAAGAATATAGGCATATTACATCTGGTATAGTTAAGCAACATTAACTAGACTTAAGATTGTGAGTTTTTCCTTCGAATTTCCGCGTTTGTAAGTGTAAACTTACACATATCGTTCCAGATTATTATTAGACGTAAAAGTTTGAAGATTGGCTTTACTTTTTCGGAAAATTATAATGATTATCCTAAATTTAATAGTTTCTTTTCAAGTTTTCGGAAGTATAGGTTTCGAAAAATTATAAAGATTATTTGATAGATCCTTTTACGACTTTAAAAGGACAGTTTATATTAAAGACATTTTGCATTTGAAAGTTTAATTTTTGTTTATCTAAAAACTGTATATCTATAGCAGTAATGTTCGAAATAGAAAGTAAAGGTAATTTCCCGACCGTCTTCTTCTCGCGTGGGATCTTAGTTAGTTGCGGTCAGCAACAATAATCCAATTAAAATTACGAAAAAAACAACAACAAATTGCAAAATGAAGACGTGTTTGTTCGTTAATCTCATAACGCACCAGCGCTTTTTTTAACTGTTCGAACTATTGCTCTCTCTGTCACTCTCGTTTGTTCAAACCTGGAATAGTTGTTATTATTATTTCGAACGAAAGTTATGCCTCTCACGAACTTTGAGAACAAAAGGCTTTCTTATGGTCTTTATTGAAGGTGCGAATTATTAACAAATTTGTTGTTTTGCAAGACCTGAACTAATGCAATTTCCTTCCGTTTTACTTTCTTTTAAGGAATTTGAAATTCGTGGTGTAAGGAAATGTATATTACTTATAATTTATGATTTATTGTTAGATATCTAGTTCTTTCTAGATATGCGAATGTGAGTTTGTTTGTTTATGTATTTGTTATGATTTCACACCTTAACTAGTCAGCCTATCATCATGAAATTTTGTACACACATTGTTAGGGTTACAGAAAAGGACATGAGGTACCGTTTACCAGAAAAAAAAATATTACTGATGGGTCTAAAAATTAGTTATATGTGGTCGTTGATGATTTTTGACTAGTAAAATCCACGGTAAATGTCTAGATGATGGCCCCCACCCCCTTTGGGGTGGGTGGGATCGAAAGAGGAGGTCTCCCCCACCACTGTACCAAAAAAGGTTTGTGGCGGTCTCACCCCCATAAAAAGGTATGGGGGTTAGATGGGGGTGGGGGTAGAGGGGATCGAAAGAGGGTGGTCACCTGAGTAACCCCATAAAAAATTTGCGGCGGTCTCACTCCCATAAAAAGTTATGGAGGTTGAAAGTTGATTATTTTGACAATTTTCATACACTATAATTCAAATAAAATTCAATAAAAAAATTATTTTCAAGCGGGTGGAGGTGGGGGATCGAAAGAGGGTGGTCACTTGAACAAAACCCGATAACCTAACCTAACCTAACCTACCCTATTGATAAAGATATTTAAATAATGTTTTATATAACTTTCTCAATATTTTTATGTATTTTTCATTAGTTTTACCTTTGAATATTGTTTAAGAATGACTATATAAATATTTACATGCCTAGAAATGTATAAAAATTGGCATATTTATTAACTTTGAACCCCAAACTTTTTATAGGGGTGAGAACTCCACGAACTTTTTATGGTACAGTGGTGGGGGAGACCTCCTCTTTCGATCCCCCCACCCCCACCCCGAAGAGGGTAGGGGCCATCATCTAGACCTTTACCAAACCAACGTATGTACGGTTTTGTGTAGGTAGCAATGTCAAGGGTTACAATCAGTATTGTAGATAATGATGCTCAAAATGTGTTTAAGAAAGTTATCTTTCTAGTTTTTGGGATCAGTCAAGCAGTAGTCCAATTAATTTTGAGAAATTTTATAGTCGACACAATTATGTATAAATTTTGCTACATTCCGATATTAATTATCGTTTTAATAGTATCTACTAAAGCTTCTCTATGACGCGGTTTTCGTGATTGCTTGTTTGATAGATCTCGTTGCAACATGTTATGATCTAAATTTTACATTTACTTTTATGGCAACAATTAAATCGAAGACTTTCACTGCAATGTACAATATAACACACACTTGTAAGTGATATTTGAATGCCGCTACCAAATGGACAACAACCACTTGAAACCACTCACCTATAATAATTAGAAGTCTCCATCGTACAGGTGGCATATTCTCCTGCAGTCGGTCTGCAACCAAAAAAAAAATAAAAAGTTATTGTTATTATTGCTATTAAGAGTCGATGACGATTGTTATCTATGTATGTGTGTTATTAGGTGAAACTGGTCAACCGACGGCGTCACATTTGTGTGAAAGAAAAAGTCATTGCGCGTAGAATAAAATTAATTTCACTAGGTTGCTTATAACGACCACGTGTTGAACAACTGCTGTCTGATACGAATACGAATAATAACTCTTCTAAGTTTCACATTCTTTAAAGGAGACAGTTGAGCGAAGGACCCATTTTTTAAATAAAATAGGAGATATGTAGGTACCTACACATAAAAAACAAACTCAGTTGACAAGTTTTCCGAATAATCATTCGACCCTTGCAAAAGAGCCCTTTCAGGGCTTGGAGGTGTTGTGCTTCATGCCATTTCATAAACAAGTACCTAGTAAATATATGAAATCCTATGACATTGTTAGTTACTTAATGGTGGATTAATATACAATATTAATTTGAAATCATTTTTTCAATTTTTTGTTTACCTACTACAAACTACCTCAAATTAATGAGTAGTTTAGTAGTTTAGTGGTCAGAACATCGGTGCGTAAAGCCAAAGGTCCCGGGTTCGATTCCCGGCGAGGGTGTAACAACAGCAACAACTTTTCCCTCATTAATTTCAGGTAGTTTGGAGTGGGTAAATAAAAAATCGAAAAAATTATTTCAAATTAATATTAAGTACCTAGTAGTTAGGTGATTGGCAAACTAATTACTTTATGAAAATACTTTGTAATTTGTAACAGAAAGAGCCTTTAGGGATTTAAATATAATTGTCTTTAGATTAATTAATTGGTAATTTGAACAAGTCCTTCTGTTTAAAAATGTACCTAATTGGGGCTTCATTGATTAAAGCACTTTAAGAAAGGGCGTTCAGCTTAGGACATGGAACTGTTTTCGTTAGGGAATTGTTCAGCTATGATTTCCAGTTTGTACTAATTAAACAATTGCATTTAATTAACATAATCTACATCAGAGCTCGGCAAAGCCGTCACCAAATTGAACAATGCTTTAATCGCGTCCTTTAAAGACTTCATTATTTATCATCTACTTTAACTATAACTGAAAATGCTAATACAAAAATTATTACAATATTTAATAATTTATGAAGTGTTGTGCTCTATTATTTTAGGCACGATTTTTAGAACATCACGGTTTCTGCTTTTTTCGCGCCAGTTGTTAAGTAGAAGCAAAAATGCATCGTCTCTCTCTCTCTTGATTTCTGTTAGTGATCGTAAGTTAGCTATTTCAGAACCGGCAGCTACATACATACTTTTATTTATGTTTTAACATTTAATTTTAGTTAAAAATAACATTGCAGTTGCATAATGCTTAATCGCATAGTAAAATGAAGAAGTGATAGGCAAAGACGAGAAAATTGGAACAAGAGAGAGAGGATATTGTTTTGATCGATAATGATCTATAAAAACGTCAAGCTTTAAGCATACTGGATTGCTGTGATCTTTATCGAATATTCACACGAAAGAACACATTTGTATTTCTTACTCGTTTCGAAACTTCACTGAGAATTCAATATTTTAATGGCTTCGTTTATGATTTTGGCATTTGTTTAATATGAATCTTGCATTTGCGCAAATATTTTTAGATACTCTTGATCAAAATCGGTTCAGCCATTCCTATCATATGTAAAATTTTCTACAAGTTTGAATAAATCTTGTCGTTAAATGTCATAATGATTGGATTTCTAGAGTAAGGAATTATACAAAGTTACAAAATAAATGAAAAACAAATAATTTGACCCAATAACTCGAATCATCGATACTTTCAGTATCCTAATGCAAATGTGAATTTGTTTGCTAGCATTTCACGCCTTAATTACTCAACCGATCACCATGAAATTATGTACACACATTGTTAGGGGTTCAGAAAGATACATAGGGTATCTTTTATACAGAAAAAATTCTGTTCCCAAGGGATATAAGAATTACTTTTATGCGGTCGTAGATCATCTTTGACTCGTACCTAGGATATCAATGTGAGCGAAATTGCGAGTAAAACCTATCCTGAAATTTTATATACACATTGTCAGGGGTACAGAAAAGGACATAGGGTACCTTTTATCCAAAAGAAATACTGTTCCCAAGAGTTTGTATAAAATTAGTTTTATGTGGCCGTCGATCATCTTTGACACGTATTTGAGGCATCAACGCGAGCGAATCCATGGGTAAATCCTATCATGAAATTTTATTCATACATTGTTAGAGGTACAGAAAAGAACGTAGGGTAACTTTCATCCCGAAAATAATGCTATTCCCGAGGGATATAAAAATTAGTTTTATGTGACCGCATGCCATCACATAATTGTGTAAATTCGATGATTTCTTAAATTTTGAGTTGAGGTACTCCGGTACCTCCTGCAAAAAAAAATGAAAGTACATATTCCACTTTTTTCTGTTTTAAATGGGGGGAAATGCAGCAAGAAGTTCAGGTATCTTTTTTTAAAGGAGGACAACTATTCAATATGCAATCAAAGAATATTTTTACGTTCATTCATACATCGTAGGACAACTATGTAGGCATTTGTTTTTCTAGGAACAAACTAGTTCAAATTATTTTTGGTGTTAGTGTTTAGTATTCATTCGTAGTTGTAATAAGTGAAACTGCATAACTCCTAAACAACGTTTTGTTGTTTGAATTTCACCGAAGTCATCAGTTCCACATTGTTAAAAGAAAACTAATCTATTGTGTGATCTACATACGTATGTAGTTATAAAGGTATCGTGCTTTAAAAAAAAGCTGGCACGAAATATAAATTAAACTTATTTGGATATCAATCATTACCAGACAGTAATAAAAAGTGAAATTATAAAACACGTAGAATGTACAATCTACTTTTGTGATTTTGCGTAGTTTACCTAATAAATTGTAAGAATATGAAACAAAAAAATGAAAGTTGAAACAATTGAATTACAAGAACAATATAGAAATAAGTAATTTGTCTTTGCAATAATTAATTGCAATTTTGAATTGAACTCATTAAAGTAATAGTAAAATGTCCATTTAATTTGGACGGCTCTAATTAACGTTTAAATGATTACAGTATTGTAAAGTACAAATTTAATTACATTTGTTTTCATTTTTATCCGCATAGTAATTAAAAAAGTGGGACTTGAACACTGTTGCATTGATTTCGAAAACTTCTATTTTTTTGTCTCTATTGCATTACCTTTCCAGGGTTCTGTACCTCCGAACAAAAACACAGGGATGTTTATAAACTTTATTACTCTGAGGAAATATCTAAACAAAACAATATAATTTACTGCCTTTAAAAAATTGAGATCTTAATTGCATATATCTTTTTAGAAAATTTATTTATTGTCAGCAGTTTAAGTCTTTAGGATGGTGTGATAGCCCTTAATCATATAAATAGGCCATTATTTACGTAAAATAAGACAGATAGACTATATCTTTAGCTTTCTGGTGTGAAACATGGAATAGTATCAGTAAAAATGCCATTATCATGTCTAGAAGTTAATTTTTGAATGCAAACTTAAATACGAAGTAATAAAATAAAGCTTTCGTCAGGTTTAGGTCAAGGTGAAAGTTTAACTTACGATAATATATGTATTATTAGATAGGAAACAGACAATGTAGTTACAAATACTAATAGTATAATAGTAAAAATGTGCAGACCGCTATAGACAGTGTTGACAGGCTTTTATTTATATTCTTTTGTAAATAAAATAAATTATACACCGGTTGGCCTGATTGTGGAACAGAATCGTCGATCAGTAAGTTTCTTCTAAATGTCACTTAATAAGCGATTGTGTCTACTGAACGAATGATTTTGCTCACTCATAGCGCGTAAATAATTGAAAAAGAAATTACCGTGTTTTTTATCTTTTCTTTGTGGTTTTCGAGGAACTCCTAACCATGAAAAGATGTGCCTATTGGTTTAAATTTCTAATTAATTAATTAATTTATATTTGTTTTAAAATAACCAAAAAATCACAGGCAAAATAGATCAAACACAAATGGGAGAAGTTGCTATATTTCCCTATCTTCCAGGATGTTAATGTAAAAATAAGGGACCATAAGGGAGGCTATAAATACTTGCTGAATTTCGATTTATCTAGAGAGTCAAATAAAACAAAGAAAGCTCAATTTTCAGTCTTCAATTAAGAGAACAGAGTGCTTTATGAAAGTAAATAAGAAGTAATATGAAGATTGGAAAAACTTTGGCGGTTGTTGTAGAACAAACAAAATAGCTCAAACCCCGACGCCAAAACACGACACTTTAGTTGTCCGAAGCACTTTTCGGGAACAAGGTTACCTTCTTCAGGGACTGTTTCGTGTTTTGGCGTTGGGGTTTGAGCTATTTTGTTTGTTCTAAAATAAGTAGTAAGCGAAATAGTACTAGTTAGACATATTAAAAGAAAAACAGGAGTATTGAGAAACAGAGACTTAGATTAGATAACTGTTATGTAGGATGTAGTATTCGGGAAATACGGAAACTCAGGATATGAAGGAATGAGGGTACTCGCCCTAAGCAGTTTAATTTCCTTCAAATTCGGCACAAACGACGCTCGGGGTTGTCAGTACAGCCTGTAAAAGTATCTAAACAATTTCCACAAAGTGTAATCCGACTAAGTCCTTTGATATTGAAATTTTTAAGTTGCCAAGTAATCAAGGTAATTCGATTGCAATGGCGCATTGGCAACATAAATTCACATTATTTTTTAAAATTAAAAATAGCATTTTGCATAACTGTTATTTAATTGCGATTGCATAAACCGTAAGAACAACATTCTAAGATACTATCAGTTTCTTTAATTATCTGCTAGGATAAGAAAATTATTTATCAGTTCTTCCACTTTATACGTTTTCCACTATTAAATAACATCTTTTCAAATATGTATACGCTGCGAAGAAGATTTCTAAATTAAATTACCCATGACTAGCGCTAACTTGTATGTAAACTTCCAGATAAAGTTTCTAGATAAAGTTATGCGCATGTAAGTATGTTGTGTGCGGTAGAGAGATATAAAGAGATGTCTTTTACGCATGTAATAGCGTAAACGAGATGGAAATGTGCATGATAACAGATCAAGCTGAATATTACGCACATTTGTTGTTAATAATAAACTAACAATAAAGCGCAGAGTAGGTACACATTCATGTTTGTGCAATAATACAATTTCTTATATAATACGCAGATTAAACTTCCTTGCTAACAACAAATTAATCACAAATGCAAATTGAATGTGCGATTTCAACTGGGAATTAGATCAACGAAAGTTCGAAATGTATTAAGTGTTCAACTTGTAAGTGTTTAGAAAACGTTTTTAATGCATTTCTTATAGGTAGCTGGTGCATTACGTTATATCCTTTTCCTTTCTTTATTAATAAAAAATTAAATAATGGCTTCTCCGCCCAGGATTTAGGATTCTTTAATTACTTAATTAAGAACTTCATAGTATTAAAATGAAATTTTTGGTGTTCTTGCGAAGATTCAAAAACTTTCAACTTTTCTTTTACTTATTTCGTTGGGTTGGGTGTCTTTAAGATAGGTCAAGGATCTTGCAATGATATCCTTTAGATCACTAACTAAGTATTTGGTTTTAAAATCATTTTAAATGCCCCCCCGCATTTAATTTCTGAATGCATCATTTATGTATTACTTTTAATGGAAATTTATAACTAATTCTGTGATTTTTGATGAAAAGTATCTTTGAGTAATCAAATTAAAATTGCCAATTCTTGTCTTCTTGGCATTCAGCAATATTCTGATTGTTTGTTTTCAACTAAATGCATATATCTGGATAGATATAAATTATAATTAATTAACCAATAAATAGTTAAAGTAACAGAAGGAGCAGTCTGTTTAAATGACGATAGTTCATAACGTAAAGAAAAATTGCTCCAAAAAATTGGTGAAAAATTAAATGAGTGCAACTAAAATTCTAGTTATCCTTTTTAAATTTAAGGGTTTTATATGTAGGTACCTACATACGTAATGCTTTAATAATTATTTTTTCGTTCTATTAATAATCATGATTCTAGATTTTCAAACATAAGTAGGTAGTTTGTTTTTTTTTTGTGAAAAATCGCCAATTTTTCGTTATTTTCGTCATTCAAACATGAGCTGACCCGTTGTATCTCTCCTTACAATCAGATTAAAATTTTATATTCTTTTAAGCAGTACAACGGTAGATTTATCGTTTCAATGTTCAAAAATTTTAAAAATGTAGAAATGGTATTACCGACTATTTTTTCAGAACAGTGGTTAAATTTTATCACTTTTCTTTTATGTTTAAATCCCATTATACCATTTTCTTGCTACAATAACTCCATATTATTTAGTGGCTTCTTTATAATAAAACTACATTCATATAGTTGTATTTTCTAAATACATATTAACATCTTTACAACTTTTTTCCGTTTAAGCAATCGGATAAAAAAGCTGCTATAGGAAGCACATATAGTACGTTTATGGTGTCTCATCTACAAAATGAGCATTTAACTTGTGTTTTAATAGTAACACGTACTTGTTATTTATTATTATTATTTTTTGATAGGATCTTTAATGAATAAACAGATAACTCAGTACCATACCTACGTATATTTATTGTGAACAAAAACCAAAAAAAAATAAAAACGATTGCATACTTCTGGGTTTCGCACCATATCGATGTTCTAATTTAACCATAATGGTAACGGAGAAAACAGGTTGAGTCGTTAAGAAGAAAGTGGATAGCTTACGTCCTTACCAGTAAATAATTAATTAGTATGATTAGAAGAAATTAAATAGTTGTAATTAGATTGTTTAGATCCGATCCTGAACCTGATTGAATTCGCTCATATTTGGATTTAGAATATTAGAACTAATAAAGGGGAAAACAAAGAGTTTTCTAAACAGTAATTACGTTGTACACTTATATTTATATATTTACATACTTTTAAATGAACTTATTCAAAATCTACCCCGGGTAATAGTGGTATTTACATCTAATTCAAACCAAAAATCGATGTCTTTAAGGTGAATTCAGAATTATCCTGTTTTTATAAAGTTTTGAGGATGGCCGAATAAAATGTAAATTTTCTATATTTTTGTTAATTAATACACTATTTGATGTGGTATTATTAAATCAAGTAATACATATTACGAATAGCCGTGTTACAAAAACTTTCTATTGTTCTCAAACTATTAACATTCATAGTTAAAACTGTAATTAATAAATTGACTGTTATATGTATTGCAATTAAAGAATAAATTGATATTATAATTTTTCGGTTTAATATTTATCACATTTTTCTATAACAAACAGTTTCCCTGTATTATATTACTTATAGTCACGTGTACCTGCAATTTCCAATGCATTTTCAGGTTGATTTAAAGTATTTGAAAGTATCAAGCTCCTTCTAAAAATTTGAACGAATGAAACTATAAATAAATTAAACCTAACACAAGCCGTCCTTCAGCACACACGAAATAATAATAAATTAATAGNATTAATTAATATACTTATATATGTAATATTTATTTTCAAAAGCGCCCAATTATGTATCTACACGCATAATACTACAAATATCTAGTGTTTTACCGAATTTTGTTTTGGGAATTTTCGGCATTCTTATTTGAAAATTAATTAGTTTTGTATTTTTAAGGTAAACTTATCGTAAAAGTGGCTGAACTTGGCGGAACTGAAACATATATTAAAACCATTTACTTCTGGTACCTTTGACCTTTCAATTTTTTTTGTAGATTTATAGTACCTACTTAATTGATTTAAAATTTCTTGGATTTCATGAAAGTTTAATTTAAATTTCATTTCTTTTCCTTATTATATTCAGTGCAAATCTGAGCCAGAACAGGCTTATAAACAATTTATTATTGCATTACCATTACCGACGTTTCGCGTCTAGTTATGAGACTGTTTCAAGGTAGATTAAATACCTCAGGACTTTAAAAAACTACTTTTGAAAACTCCTTAACCAGACGCGAAATTTACTGGATTTTACTCATTTTTATTTTAATCGTTATAAGCTAAAGTTTTCATTTTTATATGTTGTCTGATGTCTTGAGTGTTTTCTGGAACTCTGCTAATTAAAATATTTTTTTAGCGAAATTAGACGTTATAAATGAGTGAAACTTACCGTATATGCTGTAGTTAGTAAATTACGCTCACGTTAACTTTTCTTCGCTCTCTAATTACTCTAGAAAACTAGTATAAAGTAATAAGTCGAAGTTGTAATAATTATAAATAAGAAAAGTAATATTTAGGTCGTGAATAGTTTGTCAAGTTATTGCCTATGTGTTGTAGTTGATTTCTTCTTCTTTAATACCGTTCCGTTTTGAAATGACAAACCGACACACCGAGTACCAATTTTTATGCTCTGCGACAGCTCTTACAATACACTTGATAACCGCAAGAAGTTGATGACCACCGACTGTTTGACGGCCCGTCTACTACTACGTTTACTCCAACTGTATAACTAACCGCTGGCCAGGCCAGAACTTTGAAAGAAATTTCAGATCCTGCTGCTGACATTTCTTCTTCGGTGGGGTTTTTATTACGTACGAATTATTGTACGTATAAATGTACATGCATTAGTGTGTTTAATACACGATATGTACATACCTACTTTGGACATACACGCCTGTGTATGTATTTGTTTTTTTTTTTTCACGCATCTTTTGGGGTCGCAGCATACATATGGACAAGTTAAAATGAGGAAAATTGTGCATGTAACTTTTGTCGTGCCATTTTATTCCTTTCTTCATTATCTTTTGCTTGGATCATCTCTGGAACACGCTAATATACAACTTCAGCTACTTAAATTTTACTCCTTCTATCACATACTATCTAAAAACTTTATCTCTCCCCTATTAAATGACCTTTGCAATTTAGGGATATTGTTTCATGCAAGTACTAATTGACATTGACCATTAAGGTACCACGGTCCCGTATATAGGTGAATATATGATAAAAGTATTTTCAGTGACTCCAGAAAAAAGTTATGTTTTCGAGTTAAGATTAAATGTCTCTCAACTTCGTAATGTGTATGTATGTCCGATGTTATGGACCAGAAGATCAATTATTTTTTTTAAGTTTTATAAGCGCCAGGGTAGAATGGGTAGTCAGGGGAGCAACTTGTTTTAATTACTCTATTCCGTAATTTCTGTTGACTTTCTGATCGTTTTTTAGCGGTTTGTGCAACATTATTTTGCACTTCATAGTTCGTAATTGCCTTTAAGTCATATCTTTAATACTTTTTATTTGTTCAATTTCCTTTTTCTTTGATATTCCAGTTTTTCTTTTTCTTTTAACTGGGCTTTACTGGATCATTTTTTCTTCTCTGATAACGTAATTTTTCAGCTTCACATCTTTTCAGACTTTCAGAACAAATAAAAGTAGATGTTAAAATAGGAAATAATGATAAGTTACAATTTAGTCATTCCCCTCGCCTTAATGTATTTCCCCTGGCATACAAAACGCCAGAGGAGTGACGCTAGAATAGTGACAAAATCGCCAGTAACCTCAAAATACAGCTAAACAAGTGTGTGCTTCTATATTTCTATGCAATAAGCTGCACTGGCTCACAATTATTATTATTTTCTATGAACGAAAATTTACTTAAAAATAAAATGTAAAAATGTACACTTGCCAGGGTAAATACTGCAACGACTGGCACAAACACGCTGTATGGCATAGTAATGGCTACTGACGTGACGCCATTTTGTAAATCTACATTGTAATTGGCTTGTTGCTATGTTCACGTTATACAATACGCGCCAGTCAAGGTCAAACATTTTCGTTTGCGGATTTTTACTCGATAATTTTAACTAAAGTTCGCCAGATAAGGGTGACACTACTTTAGTGGGACTCAAAACTTATTGTTACATTGACAATATCTTTTTTACTTTTATTTCATAAAATTATGTTTTATCCTGTATTTAGTTACGTAATTATTGAGAGAATATCATTATAGGATTTAAATCAAAAATTATATAGTTACAAGTTTATTAGAATTAAGCAATGGAGCATGCCAGGGGAGTATACATTTTTTACTTTTCAATCGTTTATTAGTTTGTAGTTATTTAGTTAGCGCAATTTAAATATACTGGTTAAATAAAACACGAGATTAATAGTTATTTTGAAGATGCAGAACAATCAATTAATTGATTTTGTGAAAGATTTTTGATGGGGCCGTTTCAATCCCAATACTGTAGATTGACCCTATTATCTATTGGTAATAGACGTGGTTAATGTTGTTTAGTTGTGATTTTGTAAAATAAAGCAATTCATTGAAACTTATATACCTGTGCAGTGTGTTTGATGTTACCATATTGACATTGTGGCTTACGGATAAGTATATGATAATGATAAAAGATTTGTTCAAAATATATGTGCAAATANATAGTCACGTAAAGTCGTGTGATCCATGTTGAACTTTGAGATCTTAAAAGTCAATATTTTCCAAAAATTTTACGAACAATTGTAAAGATATAAAGAAACCAAATTAACTTATTCTTTAGATATTACTTTAACTATCGTGTACGAACAAAATCGACCATTGAATGCTTTTTTAGAACATTTACTAAAACACCCTGTACTACCGTGTTTTAGTTTTGTCCTGTCCATCTGCCAAACATTTCGAAATCAATGACATACTTTTTACATTACAGTTTCAATTTTTATGACTAAATCCATTGTACAACAAGTTTGAAATTTGTAATTCAATTCATTACATTGTTTTAAATATTCTTTTATGCAATTCAAATAAATGTATGTCAAAAAAATAACTCGGTATTACTATATGTATGTTTCTTCAAGTGAATACAAATTAATTGGTAAATAATGGTAATATTTTGTAATTGGTTTTTTTTTACAAATTACAAAATAATAACGTTTGCTATCGCACTGATGTTGTTTTAAATTATCGTTAGGTGCAGTCATTGGTATAATAATTATTGTTATATACAAAAATTGATGGAATTCAATTAAATATCGTTTTGCGAAGTATTCCAAGAAATAACTTTAGACAAAAGTAAGAAGGGAAATATTTCTGCTAAAATACTAAAAGTGAAAGAATATTTTCTTGTCTATACTTATACTACTTATCAAAACTTTTCATCAATTTTCAAATTCTTTTACCAATATATGTACAATGGACTTTCAAGGTAGACGTAGGCTGTATTCTGTTAAACGAAAAGAGATTTTCGTTGAGACCAATTGCGACGACGAAAAAAATGGTCTAGCGAATGGAATTAGTCGATTCTTCCTAGCTCAAAGTATATATAACACTGCATACTTCATATTGTAGAATTTTCTTAAGTAGTACGCGCGCAACATCCGTTGCAATTCTAAAAATTTACTCTCAACGCGCTAAAATAAGTATAATTTCATGAAAAAATGGATAAGACTTAGTTTACGATAAATAATATATTACATAATTCGTATTTTAACCGGTTAACATTCGCATTTACCATTTAATTAATAAATACGAATTGAATTATTTTTCTTTATTAAAAAAATCTGCGGAAAATCATTAAGATTTATTAATGTATGAGTATTGTGCTATGTTTTTGTGCGATTAAAAAGCATTTCTATTTCCGCATTAGGGTCTGTATGAAAACTATTGTCATGTAGTTAAATTATGTACTTTCTTTTCCTTCTTAATTATCGCATTTTCCACTCGATTTCATTTCGGTTTGGTTTAGTGGAGCAAACAAAAAAGCGGCCGTAAAACATAATGCACTACATCCTGTCTTCACTACGACGAATTGTATACTATACTTGACAATAACAAAGCGAAAACACACTGCATGTACCACATACCTATAAACCAAGCTTTCCTTACCAAATTAATTTACAAACGAGCTATTAATTTATAGTTATATGTAACACGAAAGTACTTATTAATGTCGCTTCCTTATGATTCGCGAAATACTACTATACTCTGCTTATGACAGGTACGACAAAGTTTGAAATTATTGAAGTCATTTGCAAAGTTTTTCAGTTGAGTTTTTAAGCTTTAAAAACGTTACATATTAAATAGTAAAGTGTTTTTAAAAGTTTTATTTTTGTGTTCGCGTATTTTAATTATTGTAGTGGTTTTAATGATTTTATTTTCTTCAATTTATACTAATAAAACCTTTATATTATTTTAGATTCAAATATTCATTCATGAGTCTACGGTGTACGATGTGTTGTATAACTACTATTTTCAAAATGTAGGTCACGACCACTAATTTGAATGAAAGCAATGTTGCCACTGTAATGTTTATTATAATTTAAACCACACTTATTTTGTTTAATGAATTTGCATTTTAGATCCTAATTGTATTATTACCTTACTGATGGGTTAATGTAATTTTATAGTAATAATTTGTCTTATGCTTAACAATAAAGACTGAGAACTGTATAGTTTTTAACAGTTCTAATTGGCAACATTGAGACAATGAATGAAAGTTTTTTCCGTTAATGAAGTATGAATGAACCATTGTTGTTGTTTTCTAAAATTTGTTTAAAAATTTAAGTTTTTAATCGGTTTGTTTAGTGTGATTGTGACGATAATACGTTAGAAAAATGCAAGATAATATTTGTTAACTGAAATAGGACAATTATAAGCAATAAGAACGTCAGCCACCTGTTGCTAATATTTACTGATAAGAAATGAAGAATTGGTAGTTATTATATATTTCGCTCCAAAATCATGAATGAAGAACATATTGAATGACTTCGTTTTCACATTCTGACAGGAAATTAACGTGTATATCAATAAATATTTAATTATAGTGCAGTATTTTGAAGAAGTGAAATTAAGAGGTTATGTGCTATAACTGCACTTGTACCACTACCAATTTTTAGTAAAAACATGAATGAAATTTGGAAAAAACTGGAAAATGAAAATGGATTTCCATTTTACTATAAGTAGGTATTGATTATAATTGCATTGTTGGTTGCTTTTAGTATTAATTTTAGCGAAAAAACTAATACCAAACAATTGGATCATCCAAAGTTTGCTGATATTAAACAACGATTGGACGACTGTAATTACATAAATAATGGAGTTTATAGAGTTGCGTCAAAATTTAGAGTCCTTCAGGGGTCTCTTTTCAGTAAGTTATCCAAATTTGATTCAAGTTTACAAATGCTTTATGTTTTGCATTTAAGTGGATGATGTGTCTCTGATGACAGTAATTGGAGTGTTTGAAAAGCATAAATTGGGACCTACAGAGGGTTGCTTAAACCTTGAAGTTTACGATTTAGAAGCAATTCTATCTGACATTTATTTTGCCACCAATAAGCAATCTCACGTAAATATTGATGTTGATTTTGCAACTAATTTAATGATTAATTTGCTGTATAACGTATATGACAGGTAAACTACCAAATAAAAGCATTAATACATTAATTGCTCGTACATTTGCAGTAATCGTGAAGGGAATATCCAAGTTTCATCAACCAAGTTTCTTCTTGCTTTGCTAAGCAACTGTAAAGTTTCCGATTTTTATAATTTCTTGTTCACACAATGTTCAGATCATAATTATTGTGTCACTAGATTAAAACTGCAATTGTTACTTACTAAAATAACAGATATTATGTGTTATCTTCATGAAGATTCCTGTTATGGTCACTATTTAATAAATCCTTCGGTGGAAAGTTGTTTCAGTAAAGTAAGTTTATTGGAGCATGTAAAGCAAACTTGTATACAATGAATCTATTTATGTTCGTATCTTTTACCCTTTCAGTGTCCAGGTTTAATAGGAATTGATCAGCCTTCGTTTATAAATTGGCTTGAGAGTGGTCCTCAACTTTTCTCATGGTTAATAACGTTATACCGTTTGAAAATTTCCGAAGGAGGTAAAATTAGTTAATTAATTATGTTGTTGATGATTATTCTGTAATTTTCAGTCGTTCACAATGCAAAATGCTCAGTGTGTAAAGCATGCCCCATTATAGGTTTACGTTATAAATGTACAAAGTGTGTTAACTACACCCAGTGTCAACGTTGTTTTTTTCTAACAAGAACGAACAGTTCCCATAAAACAAACCATCCAATGAAAGAATATTGTGTTGAGGTATTTCCAATTTTTAGCGATTTCTCATTCTGCATTCAAAAGATTGAATAAACGATTTATTGTAAATAGAAATACAGAAATGTATTGAATTACCTTTAGAATGTTTTAGGGTAAAGGAAAGGAATTTTCGCATTCAGTTTTCAAAAAAATGTTAGGTGTTTTGAAATGTTCTTCCAGTGATCAAACAAGTTTTAGGTCAGACGTAGTAGATGTGAAATTATTACGGTAAGAATTAGTAATCGTTGTTATCCATTTAGAATTTGCGAGAAATATGTTTTAGCACTTCTAATAACATGCTGGAAATTGGGAACATTAGCTGTGATAAGATCCGTCCTTTGTCGTCTCCACAAACACAACTTCAACTAATTATAAAGCAGTTAGAATTACAAAATAGGTATTTTTTTAATACTTGCTTAGATATTGTAAGTACTTATTGGTCGTTGTTTTAGGGAATTAAAAGAAATATTAGTAGTTAGTAATCATAAAGATAAAGAATTAAAAAAGTATTTGGAGGAGCATCGTTCTCACATAGCGCAGCAAATCCAGAAACTTAAGACTTTGCAGGTATCTTTGTTTTTCGTATTTGATAAGAACTTGCAAAAAATTTGAGGAATACTTTGTCTTTAGGAATACTTACAGTCGACTCAACCGTCGTTAGTAAATAATTCGCCAGTTCACAACAATGTTTGTGTATCACAATCGACACCCTTGGTAACAAATGTACGTTATCCTCCTAAAGATCATCATTTGGCATTTTTAAGTCCGATTCCGCAAAGTTTGGAGTGTGATACCTATTCAAAAAGAGACTACGAAAATTCACCAGAAAACAATTTTGAAATCGTAACTAAAGGAAACAGTACTACCGAGTGTAGTAATTCATTGGAAAATTATTCAGTTAAGGATATAAGTACTTGGTTTAAAGGTATGTGAGACAACAATAGTTAGATAATGTACTGACCACTTCATATCAAGGTCTAATTATTTTCCTTTAATGTTGTTTTATAATTCTTCATTAAGCATTTTTGACTTTCTTTTAAACAATTTATAAGGCATCCTTCGTAACATTATCTTGATTTCTTATTTATTATTAGATCCTCTGGTTTCCTCGAATTCTAATAGTCATGTTACCGATAATTCTAATGAGGCCAATAATGATTTAGATGATGTCCTAGTTAAGTTGCAACAAATTCTTGCAAATAATTTTATTCTAGATGGTGAGTTTACAGTTTTTTATTCTTTTGCAAGACATATAGAATGAGGGTAATATTTTTCATAAACCAACTTCTCGTTACTAATTTTTGTAGAAGATTTAGACAAAACTGATAATGACCAGTTACAATATGCAGTAACAGAAGTAGAGAGCATGCTGTCATCCTTAAGGAACGGAGTTGAAAGTAGCAGNTAAATACAAAGCGATTTATTTTCGCAAAATATGTAAATTTGGAATCTTAGTGGAAGATAGGTACAATAAACATAATTTGCGAAATGTAATGAATCATAAAATCGCCCTGTATATTTTTAAAGCTTAACCAAGTGTAGGTACAGGGGTTATCGTAAATAATAAAATAATTAAAAAATACATTGTACGCCTTATCTTTTTACCCAAAATATTTTTTTATTAGGACGTGCGATCCAGTTTTCCACACTCGACTAATTTAACGATAATTAATGAAAAGTTTTTGATTTCGATTGTCCAAAGCAAAGATTTTGAAAACGTAGATCACACCCCTAAAACTCCTTGTTATTTTTATGAATGAGCACCATTATTATGATTATACAACATACTTAAAAACTAGTTTTAACAATATGTGGTGTTATGGTACAATAAACAAGCCTCAGCAAATAACAACGTGAAGAAATTATAAAAGTATAAATATTTCTTTTCTTAATTAATGTTCATAAATACAAAGCGATTTATTTTCGCAAAATATGTAAATTTGGAATCTTAGTGGAAGATAGGTACAATAAACATAATTTGCGAAATGTAATGAATCATAAAATCGCCCTGTATATTTTTAAAGCTTAACCAAGTGTAGGTACAGGGGTTATCGTAAATAATAAAATAATTAAAAAATCTCTTTTTGCAATAATTGTTGATGATAGCCAGTCTTTGATTGACTCGTTAAATATATGTAGTTCTTTCACCAACGTAGTTTATAATCGTTCGTATCAATTTCGTTTAGACGAATTGATTAAATATTTACAACAGTGCGTGAGGAGGTGCTTTTCACCTGTTGCATCATGTATCATTGCCATTTCTCGCGTGTAAATGTCCAAACCGTATTGACCCTCTTCAGGGAATGTGATAGTGAACGTAACGGAGTCCTCAACAACATGATGGGACACGAATTTTGATAATTTTTTCTCTTCCACCCCGTTTTTGTGTAACGTCGCCATAAAGTCCGTCAAAGGGCGCGACATTCTGAACTGGATTTCCAGTTCTCGACCCGCGAAAATTAGAGCGTCCTAGAAATCATGAAAAAAGGAAAAAATGAATGCTTGTATGCAGTCACACACGCGGTGCTGTTTGCTGTGCAGTACGCAGAACTGCCTCGTGCGGCCCAGTTCAGTATTGTAAAGGTTACCGTAATGCACTCCACCAAAGGCAATTCTGCAGCACCCTATACACCAGTCTAACGTGTAGTATTTTCGTGTTATTTTTACCTGATGGGTAATTGGAACTAGTCCGAAAAGTCTTGTGGCTTTGGTGGGTCCCCATTCGCCAGAAGCACAATCAGGCAAAGGAACCATGACCGTTTGTAAGTCTTCACAGCATATTTTGAATTTGCAAACGCTCTTAAATTTCATCGGTTCTCCCGTTAGATATTCCTTTGGCGTTACAGCGTTGGCGAAAATGTCCAGTAAAAAGGCACCGCTACACGGTGCGTGCACTCTGAATAACACCGTGTTACCCGCCACTGACTGAAAATAAAAAGAAAACACAATATAAATAATTAATGTGATCTACCACCACGGTCATCGACTTGACTCTATTACACTTTTTAATTATGTTATATTTAATTAGTAAGTAATGCAATACCTGCATAACAAATCTTTTTAAAGAAACGCCTTCGAAAGTGTCTCCTTCGCTATCGTAAAACTTGAGATTGTAATGGAATATCAACGTTCCTTGCATGTGTCCTGGCATGGCTATTCGAACAGTTGCTGCACCTGAATAAGAGTACAAATCGTAAGGGTGTTAGATTTTATTTGTAAAAAGTTTATTTTATGGGATAGCTTTGGGAAACGCCTAGATAAATAAAAGAAATTGTAAAATCAGTTTTCTATGAAAAGGATAGAGGGCATTTTTTCCGTAAAGATGCATCATTGTTTGAAATATATATCCTACTTTGTCTGTGTGTCTATATGTTTATGGATTAATACCATTATAATATCCAACGCACAAATTTGTCTGTTTTTTTATTTAAAGGCCATTTTTGATAGAAATAAGTCCAAATTTTTCAGGATCCTTAGCTCTCATTATAACGTTTCAAAAATTTGAAGTTTTGAAAAAAAAAGAATCGTTTGCATACCTGTTGAATCGGTGAACATAACAGCTTTCGTGTTCGGATCAGAAAAGTATAAACCGTATCGGAAAAATAGGGACCTCACAAATGGTAAATCTTCAAACTCTTGAAGAGTTATCGGTTGTTTTAATAATTGCCATTCGGGTTGTAGTGGGAAGAATTCATAAATGAACTCCTTCGGATCGGTTAAGAAATAATGATCGTCGTATTCATATCTGAAATTTAGATTATGGTACGATAATTTAACGTTTAACTTATCATCATCGTAAAATCGTCAGTACTACTACTACTACTCCTACTGGTTGGTTTTGTTGCACCTCCTCTTTTTCCTATCCTGAGCAGATAAAAAATAATACATAATTGAACTCTTACCTTAAACTATCCGCTTTAGTTTTATTACCAGCTTTGGGTGCTTCTTTGGCGTTTACAAGATGTCTAGCACCCCAGTTGCATTGCACAAATCTCCATGCCCCCGCGACATAGACTGCGTTCCATGAGTTTCGAAACCGATTATCTTCGAACTTTACACCAGGCTGATAACCGGCAGATTTTGAATAACCCTTAATGACTACACAGTGAAGACCAGCATAACTACAATATGAACCCATTTTTTTTTAAGAGAATGGCATAAAATAACAAAAGACATGTTAATTATAATAAATTATAATGTAACTAACTTTGAGTAGACTGTAAAAGTCGATTAGTTAGTATTCTATTGCGCTAATAAACAGAAATAATAAATTGTTCTTGTTTATTACCTGCAAAGTCTCTTGAACAAGACGTGATAACTTTCAGTCCCATGTTTAATACCCCTCAATAAACCCATGGGTGTGTCTCCTCTTAGATTATCATCAAATGTCATGGCGTTTAGATTTTTTACAGTGATCCACCGAAAGATTGTCCTTGAAAGCAATATTTAAATTTTATTAACGGTATCTACGTTTTCTTCATGGAAATTCATGATCACTTAATAAATAAACTCAAATTAATTTGCACAAATATATGTATAAAAACTTTACAATTGTTTCGCCTCCTTGAGGCTTCTTCAGAAGTATTACTTCTCAAGGAGACGAAACAATTAAGTGATATTTAAATTTACCAGCATTATTACTACTTAGCCATTGTTACTATTATTACCTTGCCTTCTCTATATCCGATCCACAACGGCCTACAAGTTGCCTCACCAAATCCGTAAAAGACTTTTGGTCTTCTTGAGCCACCTATAATGGATTAAAAAATTGATTTTTATGACTACCATTAATTAATAACCTTTTGATATGTTTTCTACTTGGGACACCATGTATAGTATAATATGCATATATACTTGCCGAAATTGCAATTTGGTCGACGTGTGAAAATTCCGCAGGATCGCTGTATATCTGGAATTTACTGAGAGCTGGGGGGGCGGGTGGTGGTGCTTGGGTGGGATAGGGGGCTAGTTCATCTACGTAATCCCCACCAATACCCCCATTATCAACCTCATCGGCGTATAAGGATTCTGCCTGCATATATTGACTTCTCTTTTCATTTATCAGTTCTAACATTTCATGACTTTGTTTCTCTACCAAAGCTGCTGTAGCCGCCCTACAATAAGACAATTGCTTGTAGTTCAAACTTAGTTATTATTACTATCACCTTCTTATGCTACTATCAATTGCCTAATTTATAGGTCAAACCTTTTGTATTTTATTTAAGTTTCTAAAATCAATTTTTTAATGTTTCAGTAACAATACTCACATCGTAATTATTATTCAAGAGAATTTGTTTCCTTTTTAAGAAAACATTTTTATTGCCGACTAGGTAGAATAATAAAAAAAATTCTCATGTAATTTTCAATTTGCGACTGGCTGATTAATCTATAAATAATTTGTTTGAGAGTGATGTCATGGGAACCAAAGTACAAAGGCTAGAAGTAATATTATTATATGAAATTGCTCTGCAACGAGGTTACCTCCTTGTACGCGAAAAAACACTCCTGTTATTACTTAGTTTTATGTGTGCTTTAATACTTAGAGTACGTTATGCAACAAATACTTATAAATAAATATGAATTAAACAGATTTGTATGCTTATTCGCATTTTTAGATAATAACTGTGAAATGTACACGTATATGTAATATTCTGTACTACTTGAGGGGCGTCAAAGTCATAACTAATTCTTGATCGATTTTTTGATTGAGAAATCGATGCCTGTAGAGTCTAATATGCTCGAATTACCCAGAATCGAGTTTCATAGCTTTAAAATTGAAAAAAGTTTTCTATGTTAGTCAACTGTGACGCCCCCTTGAGGAAAAACTAGCCAAGGAATCGAAAAGCATCTTATCGAAACAATATTTGGGACTACCCCCTGTACTCAAAAAAGAATGAAACTTTGTAGTAGGTGTGGGTCGAAAAAAGTTGTAGAAAAAGTTATGATCATCCCTCAATATTTAAAAATCCCTGAAACCAAATAATTGAGGTCTTCATGCAGGCCATTTAAGTAGTACGCAGCGCAATTTGGGGAGAGGGGGGCCTTGTAAAACGTTACGGTGTTACAAGGGACAGAACGGGGCAAGTAACGTATTACGTAATATTGTTTTTGTTAAAATTAAAAAAAAAATAGTGATTTTCCCTTATTTTGAGAAGCACATGTAACATTTTTAGGTAAAATTGGTAACTTGGGCGTTACGTAACGTTTAGAGGGGGATAGAAAGTTAGATGAAAACTTTAGGTCAACATTTTAATTGAATTTTTGGCAAATTTTGGGAAAAATAAAAAATCTACCCTTTTATCTGAGGTATCACTGAAAACCCTTTTGCTCAGTTATTGTATATTCTAATTCAATGCCTCTTAGTGGTATAAAACAATTACTTTTCCTATCACCCCCTAACTCCCATTAAATATTTTTGTAATTGTCTTTAATAAAGTTGTTAAACAAAATAATAGATCCGTGTTACCGCGTCTGTTGCAAATTTAAAGAACAACATTCTCACAGTTAATTGATTTTGTCAGTCTTCACTAATTTTATTTAATTGTAATCTAACTTTATGCCGTAACAGCTGCTTCGGGCCTGAACAATATTCTTAGGAAGCGCAATTAATAAGAAAGTACCTGTCTCATGGACATGTAAATAAATAAATAAATAAATAAATAATTAGTGGTAGTCAAAAAGTAGGTTGCCCGTCCTGTTTTCATTATAATAATTAATTACATAGGAACTAATTAGACCAGCTGGGTACTTCCCTTCGTGCTCGTTCGCTTTTTAATAAAACGTTAGAGAAGACGCTCGTATAGGTATTAGGACGTGTGAGAATAATTTTATTAGACACTCTCGTCTCTTCGGCGCGCCTTAACACCGTGCGCATAATAAGCCGTTCACAATTTTATTCTTCTGGCCGATTAAAATGAAAAAAAGAAACACTTTCTAAATAAAGCAGATGTTAAATGTACACGAATAAAAGAAAGTTACGAATTCTTCTCGCACAAATATCTACTTACTAGGTATGTTCACATATGTGCGTACAAACCTGACGTATCTTCGGTATCTATTAGGTTCTTAAAATGATAATTGCTTTAGCACAACTGGATTTCAGTTGTGTTTCGAAATGATTATGTTCGCGTTTTTGTCCGATCGTAAGAAATATTTGTGTAAAATTTGTTATTAAGATGGTCAGAAACCGATAAAATCGAAAATGGAATCGCGGTAAATTGTCCTAAAAAAATTTGGAAAGATTTGTAAAAGTTTTAATTTTAACAATTTTTTTTTTTATTTTATTTAACGAACCCGAGGGTTCTTTACAGCAAAATTATAATTTTCGGCAAGAAATCCACTGCCAATCAGCATATAAAGTTTAACATTTAGTCAGAGAAATAGGTAACAACTTCGATAAGAAGAGTATAAAAATATCTCTTTTATAAAATGTAGGTAACAAAAATAGAAATATACTATACTAGATTGATATTGCGAGTAGCTACAAACTAAACAAATATGATCGTAATCTAATCTTGAACACACCAATGGACTCTTCATTCCTAATAGATTCCGGAAGAGAATTCCACTGGCGTTTCAATCGATATGTAGAAGACTTAAATATAAGGTTACTAGAATCCACTGTTTCAGAAATTTTCTAGCATTTCTAAGACTATATGATAAAGCTCTTTTACTAAATGACTCACAAATCCTCGGACTGTCTATGAAACCATTTAGGATTTTGTATACATATAACTTATCAAAATAAGTTCTTTTCAAAGACAAATCAACAATTTTAAATTCATTCATAGCTGGGTGAAAATCATGATCATGAAAGGACATTGGTTTGCCAGA